CTACAGGTACCTTCTCTTGTCTGCTCCAATAGTTAGGGAGGGGATTCTGCACCCCTTTCTGATAATCTGTTCTTTTCTTTTAATGTGATGCTCACAAGGAAACCGGGGTCATGTGCACATCAGGAAACAGCTTTACCCCTGAACCCCACACCCTCCTGACCTTCATTTTTGCTGTTGTTTTTAAGGACATGATAGTCCTAATGTTTTAAGATATGTTCAAAGATTATTTCACTATATACATTTACTAAGATCACTTATGGAAAATTTTATAAGCAAACCCACAAATGGGCAGCTTGTCTTCAGCCAAAGTGTATAATTTTTTGATTGGGCTCAGGCTTGTGAAAACAGGCAGTTGAAGGAACATGTACTCTGGTGAGATGTGTTGGTGTCATCCCAGTGGTACACTGGAGAAAAGTTGAAGTGTGTTGAAGAGGGTATAGAGCTTCGGGTGACTGCACACCTCAAAAGAGGCATCGAATGAACTTGCTGTCAGGTATACAGCTGGCAAAAGAGGCCGTGGAGTGTTTGCATTGGCAGTGGGATCTACTCTATGCCAGATAGAATGAGGGAGTGTTTCCTGAGCAATGCTGAGGCTCTGAGATGGTGCTTCCCATGAGGAAACACCTGGAAATACGTGAGATGGGTTTCAACTGAAAAGCAGAAAGTACAGAAGATTAGGTGTAGTTTTGAGTTCCCTTTTGGTTTCTGTCACTGAACACAAGACAACCGTTCGCAGAATGAATGCATAGGACTAGGCTGGCTTGCTCTTGTTCGTCTACATCACTGATATAAGACATCATCCCTAAATTAGGTAGATTAAAACAGTAACTGTCATATATGGTCTGATTTCCACGGATCAAAATTTGCAGTGCATTTAGACAGAGTTTTCACACTGGCCCCATCTGAGGTGCCTGGTACAGATGTGGTCTGCTAGTGGCTGGAATGTGAAGAGCTAGTGAAACAATGTCAACTTACCAGCTGGAATTGGTGGCCAGCTAAGTAGTGCATCTCTTCTAAGTCTGTCCGAGCTCCTTCGAATGGCGACTTGCTTCTCCGAATAGGAGCCCAAAGCAGCGTGTTCTTTTTAAGCCCCAGCTTGTGTTGAATCTGCTGATGTGCATTAGCCACAACAAGCCATAGAGTTCAGCATGCTCATTGTTAGAAGTGACCATGTAAGGGTGTGGCACAGGGCAGTCTACATGTCACAAATGGTAATTGAAAGTCAGTCTGCTAGACTTCAAGTGTTGGGATTTTCTTCCTAGGATTTGTCCAGAACAAGTCTGATTTCAGAGAACTGAGTTTCCCCAAATATCCCAATCTACTTTCCCAGTTTTCAAATGTGTAAAATCTTAAATAGGATGGTGTGTGTGCATGCGTTCGTGTGTGTGGGTTTGTGTGGGTGTATGTATGCATATATACATGTGTGCATATGTGTTTATAGTGAGATTGGATCTTATGGTATTTTTGCTGGCATAGAAATCACTTTGTAAACCAGATTGCCTTGAACTCAGAGATAATACTTCTATTCCTACCTCAAGAGTACTAGAAAAGGTATATACTCTCATGCCAAAGGTAAATTTTTTTCAACTATAGATCATGCCTTGCTCTCTTGACTTAAAGATCTCTGTATGTGTGTATATGTGTGAATGTGTCCATTTGGAGGGAAGGGGACAGAGGGAGGGAGAAAGAAAGGGAGAGAGTATGAGAGGGTATATATATTCTGGTTGCCAAAGACATTTTTGCATTGTCCTAAATGAGTGCCAAGAGAGTTAGATCTTTCTACAGTGGGCTTAGATGTGCAAAAACTAAAGGAGGTTAACTGGATGAGATGTCCCTATTCCTCATTTAATAAAAATAGAGTGAAATTATGCAAGTATGTAGATAAGCTAATCATCTGACCTAATCAGCAATGCAAATTTTAGGAAGCCTTTCTGATTATTTTCTCAGCTTGGCTGAGGTTATGAGTAGGAAGAATTTCCCAGCATGGTGGAGGCAGATGTATTTCATAATATTTATTGAAAATATTGGAAAGAAGTCCTCAAGCACAATCCTCCTGAAAAGTACATCCAAACAGATAACTACTTTAGCATACTCTGTAAGATTAGCTATAAACCTCCCACGACTTAGATGATCATGTAATACCTCTCCACATTTTCTATTATGTTTCATATAGCTAGGCTTGACATTTCATCCTCTTGCATAACCACTTGTACCCTCCTCAAGTTTATTGTGTTTGAGAACTCCAGGGTTTTTTTGGTTTGTTTGTTTCATTTGGATTCTTTTTTTATTTGAGAATATGGCGCCATGATAAAGAGTACTCTCCATTCTTTGGCTAGCTGATCATTTGATACCTTAGCAAAGGTATCATTGCACATAATGCTTCATCAACGTTTAGTGGTCTTCTGTTGACATTACAGGCACATATAGAGGCACACAATCAGGAGTTGGAAGCCTAAGTGGATCTGCTGTTAGTTTTCTTGCCTGGCTTTGAATAGTTACAAAGTCATTAAATCAATCACAATAGAATAGAATTACCCAAAAGGAAACCATCTGAGTTCCTCGCTAAAATTTTTATATCTTCCATAATCCTGTGCCTTCCGTCTTATGAGCTGGTCAATATCTTCGCAGTATAGCCATGTGATGCTGAACAATGTTTCCATCAACAACAGATAGCATATACAATAGTAGTCCCACAAAAGTTGGTCTCATGTGCCTTGGTAGCCATGTTAGTTTGTGTAATACATTCTATAATGTGTTTGTAAGAGTGGACTCACGTAACAACACAAGAATCAGAATCTGTGCCAGTAAGTAACATGAGGCAGATATTGTTTGTAATGTAAGTTTTGTTGAACCAGCTTATTGAATAGAGCCAAATGAATCTTTATACCATTAGAGTGCCTGGGCAGTTAACCTGTGTGTTATTAGTTCAAGATAGAACCCCATGCTTCACACTAAGATCTTCCATCATCTCACTTCTGGGGGACATCTTTTCTACTGACCAGAGGGAAAAGCCTTTGTTGTTGCCATCTTTGATTGTTTGTTTGTTTGTTTGTTTGATCCTGTGCTATATTCTGATTGGTCATTGTTTTGGGTCCTGTACTGTATGTTATGCTTGGTTATTGCTATAATCCATGGCATCTGAACAAGTGAACTCTATGAGAACACCCTTAGCATGAACTCATAGGACAGTGAATTGCTTTATTTAAAGACAAGTTTAGAGAATATAGATGATCCAATGTGTATCTGTATTTCACTGTCATTGACTTTGAAACTAGAACATTTTTATTCAACGGAACACCCTATCATGGAACACCCCCTTTGTCTAAAATCTTAACTCTCTAAAATTTTCACAATTGATATTTTAGACTGATAAACTTTTTATTATGGATGACTGACTCTTCAGAGTATCGTAGGATATTTAGCAATGTCCTTGACTTCTTATCTACGATATGGCAGTAACATCTTATATACCGAAGAGAACGCCATCTCTCAAGTCTTGATAAAGTATCCAGAATCTCTGGGTGAAGAACAATAAGGAATTTATCCACATTAAAAGACTATGGTTGTAGCATATTTGAATCAACTCGTATAATATTTACCTAGAAATCCCATTTCACAAAGAGCATTTGTACTTTCATGGACGTAGAAGCAAAACATGTGGGACCTACAATAGCATTCTCCAGATGCAACAAACAGCAGTCCCTTCAGTTGGGTTAGTTTTTCAAGCCACACTGGAAATATTGGGAACAACCACAAATTGCCTGTTCCTGGCTGAAGCATGGTAAAAATCAGCATTTCCTTGGTAGTCTATGATATACAGGTAAAAGATAAATTATTTGAAAAATAAAAGGTATTTTTTCACTCAATTGTATCCAAATGTCATGCTAACCACGATTTTAAATATGCTTGTACCCAATTGCAATTGTGATCTTGATTTGAAATTTCATCGTACCCAAATGTCATTGTAACCTTGATATCAAGTACATTTTGCCTTCCTTTGCAAACAGCGATGGTTTTGGGGAAGCCTAGGCACCTTTGAGGAGTAATGATCTGACTTGGAGCTGAGTGACTTGGAATTTTGTATTTTAACCCTTGAGAAAGGTCATTTTTCACTGAGGAGATGTGTGTGTTTTCTGAGTGAGGAGAGCGATGAAGGCAATTTTTTGGCAGTGATTGCTAAAGCCACTCATGGAGGGGGAAAGGGTAGAAAACTCTAATTTTAAAAAGTCTGTGTGGTATTACACTACATTCCTCATTGAAATGCTTCCATGGTCCCAGTCAATGGGATCAGAACATCATCTTCTTACTTTGAGAAGTTCCTTATAGGAGGAGAATCAGATTTGGAAATGTCTTCTTAAAAGCTTTAGTCAGGATAGAGGTGGGAGAACACACATAAACAGATATTAGAGTTGTGTGACACGTCCACCTCTGCCACCTTTATGTAATCAAGTTTCTGCTCCACCAGAAACAGTGATAAACTATGAGGTAACAATTTACTAAAAAAGAAAAAAGAAACAGCCTGAAACTATATTTTACTCATTTCAACCTCGTCATTTTTTAACTGCTTATAAGAGCCTGAGACAAACAATTCCTCCTCTACCTCATGCCCTCTCTCCTCCAGGGGAAATGTTAATGAAAAGTGACATCACCGGAAGTCTGGCATCAGAAGAAAGCAGGAAAGGCAGGCAGCAGGTGAAATGGCTGCATAGGAGCCACACAAATAGCACTGACCACACTGGGTTGACAATACTAAAATTTTCTGATATTGATGGCTTCTCCTCCAGGAGCTTACCTGGAACTCTTGCAGTCTAATGTAGGTATTGTGCACAAAGGAAAGGTGTCTGTGAGTGCTCAGTACACAAAACAGTAATTCCTGTAGTGTCTAGGAGTCTGCTTGTGGGAAATGCACAGGAAAGTTATTCTGTATTCGACATTGGTCCAGCACGAAGTTCAGTTCTGCACACTAATTGTAATTCATTATATATGCCTTTTCTTCCCAGCACAAATGGAGCCCCGAGGCCTATCTCCCAGACAGAGTAAAAGTGACAGTGATGATGATGACCTGCCAAATGTGACCTTAGATAGCGTTAATGAAACTGGATCCACGGCCCTTTCCATAGCCAGAGCAGTACAAGAGTAAGTACCACATTCTCAGGATGGAACAAGTGTTGCAAGGTGATCATTAATGGATAATGGAACCGAAGCATCGCTGGTTCCTCAGGCGAGTCGGTTTAGCTCTGAATTGGCACACATGACTATGTCTGTCCATTTGTCCCGCATGCTTTGGGATCAGGTTAAGGTGAAGAATGAAATGTCTCAAAAGAGTGGGGAGGTTCTTTTCTGCTAGATATCACCTCTGTGCATCTTTTCAAATGCTCCTTTCACCCTTCCTGTCTGGAAAACAAAACGTTCTTTTCGCATATCTGTGTTCAATTATCATCATAACTAATTGTATACAAATGTAGGGACAATAGAATGTTACAAATATCCTTAGTTTTGTTTTTATTATGATTTTTAAAAATGATATTAAAAATATTACATTTCAATTATATGTGTGTATGATCATGACTGTGGTACTTGTGGAGGACAGAAGAGGTCATCAGATCCGCTGGAGGGGGAGCTACACAACGTTCTGTGTGAACTGCTGGCCCTGGGGACTAAGTATTGTATGAGCACTTGAGTATACAGCAAGAACACTGTATGCTTTTAACCACTGGCCCATCTCTCTAGCCCCTCTTCTTACTTTGATAGGAAACTACAGAACAGCTTTACGGAAGATTTAAATTTGGAGGACACTGTGTTAGTACTTTGAAAAATAGGGATCATGAATACCTTGGCAAGGGACTTTTTTTTCCCCTCTTTGTTTTCTTTCAGTCAGACCATGGGATTAGAAATCAACTTTCGCCAGTAGGACTAAGCTGATTTTGTATTGTTGTCAACTCTTCAGAATAGAATGTGTGCTACTCCAAGGGAATTTTTCTGTAGAATTTTATTTTTGACCTTGTTGAGATTGAACTGACGCAACTGTGTATATTGAAAATATATAATTCACTGTTGTGATATGCTTCAGTACTGTGAAATGATTGCCATAGTCAAGTTAATTCCTCGGTCTGTCACCTCTCTAGATGCCTTTGTCCTATTTCTGTTGAGAATCCTTAAGTTCGACTGTTTATTATTTTATTTTATTTTATTTTATTTTATTTTATTTTATTTTATTTTATGTTATTTTATATGGGTACTTTGCCTGTATGAATGTATATACACATGTATATCCACATACCACATGCATTCCTGGTACCTGCAAAAGATGGAATCAATACTTGATTCCCTAGAATTGGAGTGATAGATGGTTGAGAGCCTATAGCTGTTTAGAATTGGACTCTGGTCCTCTATAAAACCAGCAAGCAGTCTTAAACATTGAGCTACCTTTCCAGCCCAGAGCTAAATTTTACATGACAGTCTTTCCAGATCCCAGCTCTTGCAACCTACCATCCTACTCTGTATTTCTAAGTTCAATTTGATTAACTCCACAAATTAGTGGGTTCTCTTTGATATGCTTTGCAGATGCAGTTTCATGCTATAATATTTTGTATAAAAATGTAAGTCCTCGAAACTATTCTGAAAAACGTGTATGCACATTAAAGGGAGCTAGATTTATTATTCATGCTGGTGTTTTCATTAAAAGGCGGGTAGCACTCTTTGGGCTTCTGGCACCTGGAAAGGTGCAGACTGCCTGAATCCATCAATGCTTAAAGCACCGCCCTTCAGGTGTGAGTCTGCATGCTAGCATTTAGAAGCACACGGATGCTTTCGAAAGAAACAAGTAGGATGTCCCAAAAGGGCCTGTTAAGTACAGAGATATTTCCAAACTTCTAGTAATCTACTGAAACTTTAATGTAACACAAATATATAATCCATGTTAAATTATAGAAAATCCTGTAGATTGGCTTACCCAGCATTAACTTTGAAAATTCAGTTGTGAATTCGACTTCTTGCTTTTAGTTTCTCTTGAATTCTTAATACACCTGATTATGTCACTATTAACTTCTCTTTCATCTTACTCTTCTTGCTTCTTCATCTTGATGCCCAGTGTTAATTGAAACTATTAGAAACATCAGTTTAGCATGTAAAAAATGAGAATATTTCAAAGGATTACTCAAGGTGTGTCCATTTTCTGTATATGTAGACTTTTCCTTGAGACTATTGGGTAGAGAAGGAACCAGGGAAGAAGATAACAAAGTCAGTTTGCTGTGGAACAGACTGATAAATTTTCAAACCCCGGGGAATGAATTTATGTTTTGTCTCCCCAGTTAAAGAGCAATGGAACCCTGGTCTAAGATACACCCGAAGGTTTGCCAGCCTATTCCTTTTTAGAAACAATACAGAGCTGGCCATGAGAACAGGGAGCTGAGTAAGGGCGAGCATATTCAGGAAGACTGACACTGGAAAAAATGACATGGCCTTGCTTTAAGTCACACTTTTGTTAAAGGCCCCAAGCAAGCTGCTGAACCACGGAGCAGATACCTCCAGCTGAAGCTCTTCATCCCTGTACCGCTTCGTTGTTTGTCAACTTGACACAAATTTGAGTTATTGTAGAGCAACCACAAATGAGCAATGCTTGTAGACAAATCTGGGAGTGGGGTGGGGTGTTCTCTTGATAAATGACTTTGTTTTGAGAGGGCCAGGCTCACTGGGGGAACCGTCTCCTGTGAACCAAGGTGCTATAAGAAAGAAGTCTATGAGAGCCACGGGGAGCAAGCCAGTAAGCAACGTTTGTGCCTGGCCTCTGCTTCTGATTCTGCCTCTAGGGGCCGGCAGTGAATTCCTTGAGGTTTCTCTGAATGATGAACTATAAGCTATAAATTGAAATCCACCCTTTCCTGCCCAAGATGCTTTGGTTCATGGCGTTTTTCCCTAGAAATCAAACTAAGTGTCCGTCTCATGTAGGTACAGTACAGTCTCAGGTGCCACCGGATGACATGAAGACCACAGCTCTCCTCTCAAAAAGGATGTGACAGTTTATTCTGTAACCAAATATGACAGCCGCCCAGGCACAGATTCAGGTTACCCCAGATTCCATTTGTTGGATTAAGATTTTATAGTAACAGAATGAAGCAATTCATAAATCAAGATACTTTGAAATATTATTAGTAGGTACATCAGACCAGCAGGGTAAAGCAAAGTGGAGCGATGTCAGCTGCTGGTGTTGGGTGGTAGGAGACACCACTCTTAGCTTTTTTCTTGACTGAAACATGGGTTCTGTTTCTACAGTCCAAAAAAATGTACTTAACAGTCATAAAAATATTAGTCCACATAAAGAAGAAGGCAGTAATTGGTTAATAAAAATGAGACAGTAAAGCTGGGCTCAAAATAATCTGGCTCTGGTTTTACAGCATTCCAGACTGTCAGCTGTCACTGAAATCCAACCAGCTAGTTAGCCTCACAGATAATTTCATGTAAGGCGTGGTTCTTCCCAGGAACTTTATTCCCAGGCAGTATAGCTTGACCCTGTAACATCTTGTATTAGCATTGGAATATATGAAATAAGCCTTCCTATGCTAACAATCTACCTCCTAATAGTAAATTCATTTTATTGGTTTATAAAGAGGATTTTTTAAAGTGAACTTTGGGTTTAAAATAAATGGTTTCTTTTGATTTGATGTCTAGAAGCTGCTAGCCAGCATGCATTTTCACCCCAGAATCTCAGATCTGTGTTCAAATACAAAAGGGCACCCAAAGCCACCTCCACTTGTATGGATTTACTTAGAGAGCATACTGATCACCATTCGTAAAAGGAGTACCTCAACCATACTCATTAAGCAATCTGATCCCCACCCCCTCATCAGCTCAGTCAGTGAACTTAACAAAGTTGCCAACAACAGCCAGGGAATGACTCACAGATGGGCCCTTTCTTAGTGTAATCTTGCAGGTACTCTGCATGTTAACCATGATGTATTCGAGTGATTGTGAGATAAAAATTTCAGCATTCATAGAACATCTGTTTTGTCTCTGTCCCAACCCCCCAGTCTCCTCACAATGCTAAAATACGGTCATTTTCCTCTTGACACCTTGGCAAACGTAATTATGAAATAAGCCTTTAGAGGAAGAAAGGCAAAGACACTTGGTTAGATGGAATTGTTGTAATTAACTCTATTGCTAGGCAAAATACTGATGTTTTCGAAATAAGCAAATTTCTTTCTCTAAATTCTGAACATTCTTGATCCTTTTAACATATACAGACTAGGCACATGCCATAACCTCAAGTGTAAGAGAGCAGCATTGTGTGGGGCCCCCATTAAAGGAATTTCTGTCCTACCCAGGATCAAGATGATAGAGCAGGATTTGAGACAAGGATCTCTCTTAGACTGAAGCTGAGGAGGGAAGGGTGATGCTTTGGTGAAGCAGATGAAGATATTTTGACTTAGCATCCTGACATCTGTCCCTGTTAAAATGAAACAGTTTTTTTCATTAATTAATTTATTTATTCACTTTGTATCCTGATCGCAGCCTCCTTCTCCCAGTACCCCTCTCACATGGTCCCTTCCCTTGTGCCCTTTCCCTTCACTCCTGACAGTGGGGAGCCACATCCCCCCCCCCCCCGTTACCAACCCAGCCTTGCCTATCAAGTCATTGCAGGGCTAGGCACATCCTCTCTCACTGAGGCCAGACAAGACAGTCCATTTAGGGGAACAGGATCCACAGGCAGGCAACCAAGTCAGAGTGAATCCCTCCTCCAATTTCTTAAACAGCTTGTTGTCCACCACATTCAAGCTACTTCAATCATTTGAATGTCCCCCTTGTCCCAGCTTATTCTGCAGCTTATGTGAAACACCACTCTTCAGGAAGAAGCCAACTCGTAAATTTCAGAAAATGATTAAGCTAACATCTGGTACTTCTTTTGCTTAAGGATGCCTTGAAAGAAAATACTGTGGCCAGTTAGATCCCTCATGTTTCCTGCAAGCATCCCTATAGCTAGTCTACACATCATGATACTTTCTTTAGAAAACTGCATTGAATGATCCAAGACCGTCCGTCAGTAATGTCAGGTGTTTTTATTTTATCATCTACATTTTTGCCATGGCAAACTTGTTCAACAGTTAACATGCCCTTGCTTTCCTTAATTTCCCCCAGATGGT